ATACTAATAGAAAAACAAATACAAAGAGCTTATGCTCCACAATATTGGAAATGAGACCAAAAATACAGTCAGATCTTAGAAATATCAAGTTTTCAATTCAAACATGCATGCTAGTGAAAATCCTGCTATGTTAAGTTAATGTGGTCACATATGAAATGACAAACACATGCTCACATGCTCATTACATGGCATCATGGCAACTCAATCATTGTTTGAGCCAAGCGAATTAATGATACATCCTGTATTAACCCTAATAACTTCACAGGGAATTATTTAAACCTTGTTTTCACTGAATTTGATGTTATTTTTGTGGAGACCAGGTTTTTGTTCCCTGCTGAAATGTTGGTTCCCACACCATGAGTCTGCTGTTATATTCTGGTCCCCAGAACACAAACAAACAAACAAACAAACACACACACACACACACACACACACACACACACACACACACACACACACACACACACACACACACACACACACACACACACACACACACTTTGGTCATGCCCGACCACTACCTAACCTCTGTTGTCAGTCTGGCCCCCCACCTCCAGGCCTCTGCTGTCCTGTCATAGTGCTTTGAGATCAACTCCAGTCTCCTGCTGGGAGTCAGAAGGTGGTGATCAGGGTCAGGGGCAGCGTGTGTGTCTATGTGCGTGTATGTGTGTGTGGGTGTGTGTGTTGAGGCGAAGGCAAACAGAACAGGGGATGTGTCATGCCTCTGATGTCCTCCATAGTGAACACCAGCTGATATCTTGTCCACTATCTATCCTTAATTCCACTTTCCCTTCTTTCTGTCCCTCCTCCATCTGCCCATTTATTTTTTCTTCCAAAGGATGAAAAGAAACAAGAGGGTGTTTTCCTCCAGTGACTTGGCGACTTGTATGTTTGTACAGGCTGCATAATTCATAAAGCTGCCAGGGCAGGTCCTATGACCACTGGCTGCACTCTGGCAGTAACAGGAGCAACAAATTCATGTGGTGGGAAAGCTGTGGTGGGAGTCGATTGGTCCAGAGGAGAGAAAGATTGTGCCACCTCGCACGCCCTATACTCAAAGGCCTTTACACTTTTTTTTTTCAGCCTTTCATCCAATCACAAACTGTTCCTCCTGTCTTCAGGGAAATGTTAACATGAGACCATTTACATCAAGCTGTTCCAGCTCTTTTTTTGTTCTATGGGAGTGTCACAGAGCTCTGATCCCTGCATGGATAGCAAGGGCAGGTCAAGAATGTGTATGTAGAGGAGACAGATGGGTGCAGCATGATTACTGGAATAAAATAAATTCTTCTTCTTAAAAATGTGCAATCTATTTGCAAATATTCAAATACTCCAAATGATATTTTTGAGATCACTTAGGTTATTGCAAGCTGATATTTGGCTTTCCATGCTTTTATTTAGAGGACAGGACAGCGGACAAGTTTGGAAAAGACTTCAGCTTCTGTACATGGGAAATGAGATTTCATTGTTTAGCTAAACCAGCATTCCCTGTTCAGAATATGTAATGCAATGAGGAGCTTTTTCTTTTTAGTTTTCTCTGAATGAGCTAATAAGGTAAGGTAAGATAAGATACTCCTTTATTAGTCCCACAAGGGGAAATTCCCATTCGCAGTTCATCGTTTCCAAGAAACATACAGTAGACAGAAGCTCAGAGGGTGTGGTGGTAAATTTGGTAAAGTGTATCCTAAAGTGTTTGGTTGCTGTGATTCTTGGCAGCAAACACCTGGTTGTGTAGTTTTTAAAACAGACTTAATCCAAAATCATTGTTCAGGGAAAATCATTAAGAAATTTTAAATGTGTCACCACACCTATGTTTCCATACAAACTGGCAAGCAGTGACGCCAGACTCTTGAACACGTCCACCTGAAAAGTCTAACAAGGGCTAGGAGGTTTTGTCTTTCATCAGTAGTAATAATAATAATAATAATAATAATACATTTTATTTGTTAAGCGCTTTTCATAGACTCAAAGACGCTGTACATAGCTAAAATCATATATCAGTATACAATAAAAATACATCAATATACAATAAAATACATCAATATCAATTAAAATCAAGTAAAATCAGGTAAAATCAACAATCGGTGTGTGTGTGTGGGGGGGGGGGGGTGTGTGGGGGGGGGCTAAGGAGTAGCCTTAGTAGTAGTAGTAGTAGTACAGCACTGGCCAATACAAATAGTAGAAATTATTATGTTCATAATCTTTTTCATTACAGATAAAATAATAACAGTGTTGTTTTAAATTTGACTTAGTTAAATAACTTATATCATATAACTAGTAGTATGCATGTTGCAAGTTGACTGGATTTGTAAAAACTCTCTTCAAACCATATTAGGGTCCAACGCTAGTAGTTTTATTTTATCTTGTTTATTTGTACCCGGTGGGAATGTGTATGTTGTGTGTACTGCTACTGTTAACAATTTTGATTTCCCCACTGAGGGATGAGTAAAGGATTATCTAACCTAATCTAATCTAGTACAAATCTTCGGTTAGGGCTTTTGTCCACTGACTGCATTATTTTTTCAATTGCAGCATCCACATTTAAGTTTTCTAAGATGGCTTTGATATAACCCTTATTATTGCTAGGTTTAAAAAGCTGTCTAACTTCCTTCATACTCCTCGTAGCTGTGATTGTTAAGTCTGTTTTAATTGCAAATTATGCTCAATATTTGCTTTTATTTTGGGTAATTTTGCAAAGAAAAGGCAAAAAATACCAAGTGACTAATGCCCAGACATGAGTATTAGCCACCTGGAAAGGGTGCCCTTGAAAAATAATGCAGGGTTAGTTGTTGTTTGAGGTTGATGTTATCAAAGTTGAGACAGGAAGTCACACACCCTCTTGATTTTAATGAGTTAGTAAGAGGGAGTAACACTGACAAGAATAAGTGGTGGTCGTTGCTGCTGAACTCATACCTTTAATGCAGGCTAAAAGATAGTTTCTTTTTTATTTTTACAGAGTTGGTTAATAAATGGTTCTTTTTGGTGGATTGTAGAGGCATCATTAGACAGAGATTTACCACAAAACGCACTTTAGCAAGTCTATAATAATACAATACAACCAAGTAGAAAGTAGTCAGCCTCCAGTTTGAGATTTCCAAAGTCTGTCTTTCAGCCAAGAAAATCTCTTCTTATCTTTTTATTTGTTTGCAGTCTAAGTTTGGGCTGAAATGCTTCAAAACTGGGATCACAATGGGTACAGACTGTGTTGCAGAGATATGAGTCAAAGTCTGAGGAAGAATCTCCTGAAGGGGTATAATTTGGGGGAAAGATTACAGAGTGCTCAGTAAAAACCCCTCAGAGGGAGTAAGGGGGCAGCCCGAGCCAAGGGTGGATTAACTAGTATTAGTCCACATACGGTGTCTTCACCAGTCTTCATGGCTTTTTCAACTATTTTTTCTCACACCTTGGCACAAACCATTTCTAACTTTTCAGTTTTGTTGTGTTTCTTTGTCTGACTTTGCCTTTTGTTTAGAAATGTGCTCTGTTCATTCCTCCATTGCTGCTGTTTCATGATTCTAAGAAGCTATTGGACCCTGCTTGCTACTTTAGATTAATGTGTTGTTATTCACATTCATACATATTGTAGTGTTGGGAAGTCCAAATAAAATCATCCCTAAATGTTCTGATAGCCTGCTGCTTTATTTCTTGGCTTACAAGAAGTACCATAAAATGACTCTGACTGGGATTTAAAACCAGGATCCTTTGATCAAGAGGCGGCAGCCTTAACCACAACACTACAAGTCAAAAGGTTTGCTACAACACAAATCGATTATTGAACCACAAGAGATTTTGAAAACTTACTTAACTTTACAGAAACACAAACAAAGAACAATCAGGGGTGCAAATAACCGAGTCAATCATGCTTCAGGAACACAAAAGTTCTGTAGTGTGAGAGGAACCAGTGTGAACCTGGGACTGGGATGGAGTGTAGAGATGGGATATATGGCTCTTTGAAGGGAGCTGGATATTGGGGAGCCGTTCCATTCAAAGAACCGTTCAAAAGACCTGTTCCCTGTTATATTTATTCATTTTTTAGGAGTCGACCAGGGGTAACTCTTTTTTTTTTATCATGGAAACAATCACTGATGGCAGTTAAAAGATACAATTGGAATCATAATTCAAACCATCCCACCCATATATACTCTATTGGTGGGACTTATACTGTAATATTGGTTATAGTTTCATTTAGCTTGTGTATTCATTGTAAACCATTCATAAGGTGGTGCAATATTCCCATGTTTTGACAAGGTGATCACTATTTTGAATTTTTCCCTCACCCAAAAATCTTTGCGGCTCTAAAAAACTACATAGGCTACAGATAATTTCCATGCAAAACAATTCAGCAATTTGTGTCTCACTCCATCTCTAATGGAGTGAGACAAGGTGACGCTCCAGTCTTTCAAAAAGGCCTCCTTTAGATCATAAAGTATCTGTATTAGACTCAGCTGGTTAGTAGGTGAGGTGAAAGGGGATTTCCCCTGGTAATATACAGCGCTCCAGTGGGCCGAATATTCAAGTTTAGAGCTTTCATGATGCAAGGCATGGGCAAAGTCACAACATCACATCTTAATTTTGGTATAATTTAACACAACTGCATTGGCACAACTAAACCACAATGGTGGTCTTAACTCATAATATTCCACACAACTAGTTCCTTTTTTTATTTTAAGTTGAGACAATTTATCACTTTTCCCAGTGGGTGTGGCTTTCTCCTGGCTTGAATTTCTACCCCTGTAGGCCTTGAGTTCACCCGCATGTATTTACACATGTATGTTCAGTAAGATATGACAAGTTCACCTCTTTCTGTTCATTCCTTCTCAAGAGCGGGAATTCCTGGCCAAAGCGGAGTCTGACCAGTGCCGGGGGATCTGCCCTCTGCACTTTCCTCCTGTTCCTGCTTTGATTTCCAATATGTCCTCCCATCGCCACAGATGGCTGTAGAGGAAACATTTCCTCAGCCGATGGTGCAAGTGAGACCCTTGGGTCCCTGAGGCTGATAGGGGCTAGAAATTGGAGAAAAATGTAATAGAATATTTGATTGGTGAGCAAGACACTGGGAACGCAGCCACAGTAATGTGTCCTGGCTTAGCTGGAAGGGCACACTCCTTCCCTCAGCACCCTCTCCCCTTCCTCTTCTTCCTTCTTCTCATCTTTGGTCAGCAGAAGGTTTTTATTTGATATTTTTTGATGTACAGTGGTGCCAGGCGAGAGTCTGGAGACCTTGCAGTTATGCCTCTTGGTTGCTGTGAGTGGTATGAAAAAATACAAACAAGATGACAAATGAGTTCCTAGAGTATACGGTTCAGATAGAGAAAGTTGAAGCTGTCAGAGAAGGAATTGATGGCTATGACTTGACTGGGGAGAGGAATCTTCAAATACACTGCCCACTGAGCAAGAGACGGCTATTAGACGACTATTTTTTTTAGACCTAATTTCAACTGTCTAGATCCTGTATATTTTTAGAGGGAATTTGGACGTTGCACTTTAACCCATTATTCGATAACTACTTTTTTCAAAAAGCAACTCTAAGCAGCATAACTGATCTCCAAGTACTTAACCAAAATTATTATGATAGATGTCGAGCAATATACAGCGTAGTTTAGATATGGCCCAGATTTAGACTTGGTCAAAATTTAGACATCTAAAAAACGACCTGTGGTAGCCTGATTTTAGACCAGTCGTCTAGGCTACATTTAGACGTCTATTAGACCTCTTTTAGACCAAAAAAATGCTTAGTGGGTGACATCAGGTTTTGTAATACTATTTTAAAATTATCATTATTGTGGGGACTTCGACTCCCCACAATGGCGATAATTCTCAACTGCAAAAGAAACTCCAGGGAAAATCCTGATAACCAAGGTCATTTCAAATCAGTCTGCTGACAGGGGCCTAGCAAATATCAAATCTCACTGTCAACAATGTGGCAAAAAAAAAAGGTAGTATCTATTAGTATTGTGGTTTTGGAAAACCTTTAAACACACATACAGTATATATCAAATTATATTAATCCAGTTTAAGCAGGTAATTCCCATAATACCTTCAGGTGTGAATGGTCTTTTCTGTACTGTTTTTGTGCTTAAGAATCAAAGCAAAAGAGATTCAGAAGACTGAAAGAAGAAAAAAAAAACATAAGTTCAGTCTACAGAAGGACGAAAAATGTCTCAATGAAAGCATCCATAAAACATATTGTCTGGTTTCTTCTTCTGAGACAGGTGCCCAAAAAGCCATCCATCAGCAGGGACAGAAGCAGCCAATCATGCCGGCTCAAATCAGCCAGACGTTTAGCCTCGCTCCCAGGTGGGCGGGCGGTAATTGCCAGGCGCAACTTTGCCCACCTGGCCAGCTGCCACTGGGACACAAAGAGGCGGGAGGAAGTCAGACACAAGGGAAGGGTGGATGGGAACGAGGAATATTTTCAGGAAACAGACGGTTCGGGACTGGCACAGAGAAGTGAGGCATTGCACACCTGATGACTCATCTGAGATATGTGGTACAACGATTCTATTTCCATTGTTAAGTTGCTGTCATGTCTTTGCTCATGCTGTGCTCGGATGGCGGTGTTTTCCCCCAGTAAACACCGCTGTTTTTCAGCTTTGCCATCCCGAGCCTCTGTGGTGCTTGTCGTTATGCTGCCTCAGCAGCGCACTGCCCTGAAGAGAAGAGCAATCATGCTGGTGGAGAATTTTAAATTTCACACCCATACTGTGGGAGGGAATGGGACATGGGGGGCTTTGGACAAGGTGCTAATTGAGGAGGCGATACACCACCTGTGTGTGCTCCAAGGCAAGTATTCGTCCAAATAGCTGATGCAGGAGCTTCAAACCGAGCTGCGAAGAGCGGCGCTTGCTCACTGCTCCTTCACTCATACAAATGCTGAGGATGCTTTTCTGAATGGGACCCCAGATATACTTCAAAATCCGTCTTAATTGCTATTGAATGTGGAAAACAACAGGCTTATTGTTTTTCATGTCTGTGTGGGTGTAATACACCACAGTCTTCCAAAGGCATAATTGTCCTTCATAGCAGGGAATCCACGCTTAGATTTTCCACAGTTTAAAAACACAGAGCAATTCAGGCACCATGGGAGCTGAGATCTGCCAGTGGTTGTGGCGTTGGATGGCAGAAGGCCTGATTCAGACGTCCTTCTGGTGATTGGGGCTGTCAGATAGGCTGGTCGAGGGAAATTGGTGCAAAGCTGAAGACTGCTATCCCAGTCATCAATCACCTGCCTGTAGCTGAAGTGTGAGCCAATCGGCCCAGGCCTCAGGCCCCCTGGATTCATCAGAGGGGACAAGACCTGACATCCAGAAAAATGAGCTCAACCCTGTCCACATCAAGACGAATCGGAGCCCAGTGTCATCAACTCACACCGCATGAGTTCAAAAGGGGCAAAAGAGAATAATGTAAAGACCTTTTCTCTATTTTTGCGAAGATTATGACACTTGATCCCACATGAGCACATCTTCTTGCAAGGAACTGAGCAAATGTGTGTGAATGTACACGTCTCTCGCTCCCTCTCCTCTCACACTCTGATCCAGGGTTGGGGCACTGAAGGGGAGAATCATCAGGCTGAAAATGATTAATACCCCCTTTTTTGTCCCTTCTGGCATCTGCAGCACATCTGCCCCTCTGGGACCAGGACAGAGATGGTTCCCGCTTTAGGAATTAAGCTGCCCTTCACCCTCTCTCCAGAGGTTGTAGGTGTGGGAATCTCCCCTGCAACCCTCTCCTGAAAAACCCTCCAGGGTAGCAGAGTCTGGGCCCACCTCAGAGCCCAGCACATTAAGCAGAGGCGATATTTATGATGTGGAAATGGCCTGCTATTTATTCAGTACACAGAGGATTCATAGTCCCTCAAACTCCCCCCTCACTCTCTTTTTTACAAATCTGTCTCCCTTAAACTCTTCTCTCCTCCTGAAATTAATTCCCTTTCTCTCCCTGTCCTTCTTTTCTGTCTCTCCATCTGTCAGGGCCTTCCTTGTTCCATATTTTAGATATTCTCTGTGCTTTGCACTAGATTATTAATGCACAGTATTAAACTCACTGTCTGAGAGGGCCTTGAAGTCTGGAAAAGGGAGACTTTACTTACAAACTTAGTGCTCAGAGAGAAAAGAATTACCTCATAAGACTTAACATTAGAGGAGTTCGCTGTCAGGTGAGTTGATTTCAATTAACATGAAATCAAAGCTGACAGCTATTATGTTTTAAAATACACACATTTAGCATATTTAGGGCCCGAGCGTAGCTGCTAAGCAGCTGCGAGAGCCCTCTTGTTCCTGATGGATTCTTCTTTCGTTATTTTTCCTCCGCTTTAAACTGGAAAATGGCCCACTTCCCACTGGCGAAAACTCAGGAAATTTGGCAGGACGACCGGGCCTGGTGAAAAATTTGATATTCTGAAGTCGTCCAAACAAAAAAATGAAAAATGGCTCCATAGCGCCCCCTATGGTGAAAACTCACCTGATGCCTGTACGCTTTGTCAAAATGACACAAAATTTGACACACATGTGTATTTCAATAAGATCTACGAAAAAGTCAGTGCGGGCATATCTGCCAAATGTACGGTTAAAGGGCTATTTCGCTTTTTTTGCCGATCCGCACACATTGGAATTTCGCTAACTCCTCCGAAGGCTTTCGTTCCACCGGCACCACATTTGCTCAGGCCAATCTACACCCCATGGCCATTAAAAGTTGTACAAATCATGATGCTGCACCCCACGGTTTACTTTCTAGGGGGCGCCAAAGATAACACAAAAATCCACATTCTTAAAAGTCTTATAACTTTTTATTTTTGTCCTCACTGGCCTCCAAGTTTTCTAGGATGATGCAATGTCCAGCCATCAACACATTTATGAAGGAATTTTTACTCCCCAAAAGAGCGCCCCCCCATGGCAGGAGAAAAAAGTCCATTTTTTCTTGTCTCCTAAGGTAAAAATACACATTGTTGAGTGTCACGCCTATACACTTTGTCATATTGACACACAATTTGACAATCACGTGTATCTCAATAAGATCTACAAAAAAGTCAATAGGCACGTATCTGTCAAATGTATGGTTAAAGGGCTATTTCGCATTTTTTGCCGATTCGCACACATTGGAATGTGGCTATCTCCTCCTAAGGCTTTCGTCCCACCGATACCAAATTTGCTCAGGGCAATCTACACCCCATGGCCATTCAAAGTTGTAGAAATCATGACGCTGCACCCCACGGTTTACGTTCTAGGGGGCGCCAAAGATGACCCAAAAATCCACATTCTTAAAAGTCATTTTGGTCACTGCAGGAGTACAGAGTACTGCAGTTCTAGGGGGCGCCAAAGATGACCCAAAAATCCACATTCTTAAAAGTCTTTTTGGCCACTGCAGGAGTACAGAGTACTGCCGGACACACACACATATACACACACGCCACACACACACACACACACACACACACACACACACACACACACACACACACACACACACACACTCAGAGTCTGTTTTTTAGCACCTGCAAAAACATGCTGTTTACATATTTGACAAGAATGCAGAGGCTTCCTTTTGCCCCTGAAAAAAATCAAATTTCAAACACAACTTGACTGTTCATTTCTCCAAAAGACAACCATGAAGCTCCATCCAAACCTGAAGCAGATAGTTGGTGCATGTGTACAGTAACCTGAGGAGAGTGAGGTGACTACTTCTGAGGAGAACATGAGCAGTGAAGATTCACCTTGGAGCTAGAACAGGGACGTGCACATGATTATACAGGGGCAGGGGCTCAAGTTTTTTCCAGTCATTTATACAATATGGAAATTAATGTGAAATTAAACCACAAATATGTGTGATGAACTGTTTTTAAAACTTAAACTTCAAATAAAAATTGTAAACTTCAAAACATATGCAAATTTTTAACAAAGAACATAGTAATTTACCTCTATTTACATCAAAATGCAGGCAATGGCCCAGGCGTTCTTTGTAAAATTATTTACAAAACACTGTATAGTCTCACAAATGTCACTTTTTATTTATGCCACTACAAAAAAACATGATGTAAATGATGCATGATGTAAAACATGATGTAAAAAACTTGTGTAGATCCTCCTCTATGTCAGTCCATGTGTAATTTTTCCATAATTCTTTGTTTTTTGCAGCATTTTTGTTAGTGTAACTGCAGATTGTGCTGACAGTGTCTATGGCAAAAAAAAAAAAACTGAAAATGCCTCAACATGAACTCCTGGTGGTCTCTGAGGGTGAAACCTGCTAACTGTGCAGCTCTCTCAGCTCTGGTCTCCCATGCAGAGCTCGGAGCGCATGTGTGGCTCTGCACCCTTAGCAGCGTTGCTAACTCCTCAGTAAGGAAAGCCTGCTTCATGTCAGAGTCTCTAAACTCCAGAGGAAGTCGATAAAATTCCCTTTCTTTCTAAAAAGTCGTTAGGGGGTCTGAAAAGTCATTGAATCTAACAACAAAGTCGCTAGGTTTGCAACTACGTTTCCCAGACTGCATCCCTGCTGAGAGTTCCTCCCTCCCTTCTCATATTGCAGGAAGAACATAAGCGCCCGCCCCTTGTCAATCAGTCACCATATAATTTTGGATTGGTTGTTGTGGTGAAGTTTTCCACCAATAGGAGAGATGTTGTGGTGTGTTTTTTTTTCTTTTGGCATGCCTTTTCCGCCTGTAAGAGCTGTCGCTAATGTCTGCATGCTATGTTTTCCTGTCTCATACAGCGTGATCGAGCGCCGAACGTGATCAAAATAAGCAGAAAAAAAGTATCACGGACATAATTTATCATAACTCTAGTTTTATTTGGCCTATCAACACAATTTAAAAACTGGTATATAGTTTGAGGTCCTCACTTTTGAGATAAGTTGAAACGGAGGGTGAACGAGGCTCCGTCTTGCAGCTACATCCGGTTAAATATGTCATGTGACTTGAACGCTGGGGAGCGTCAATCGACTGCAGAGCCAGCAGACAAAGTAGTTATGCCACTAAGAGGCACACATTTGTCATATGCTATAATCCTAACATATTTTAATGCTTTTTCTATTTAAACCTAATGGATCTAAGGTTTGACCTTCAAAATTTAGGAAGAATATTTTTTTGCAGTAATGACCCCCTTAAACAACCAGAGGTCCTTTCCTAAAGTTTATGGAAATTTTAGTGAAGGCCTTGGTTTCTTTCCTTGCAAAATGTATAGAAATAATAAAGCTAAATACCATAAAATGGTCTTGGCGTATTAGCAGTGATATAAAATAGTGGTTTGAATATGAATGAACAACAAAAAAAAACATCAACAGAGCCTTTTTGAGTTGGGATTCTTTCATTATCACACAAAAACAGACATAGACAGACATCTAAAGGGTAAGGGAATGATCAGCCCTCCTAACTCTCAGATGAATCTTCAAAATTCACCGCAGAAATATGCTTATTATTCTTCTCAGAGTACTGCAAGATATATACAAACACACACAGACACAGACACACACACACACACACACACACACACACACACACACACACACACACACACACACACACACTCAGAGTCTGTTTTTTAGCACCTGCAAAAACATGCTATTTACATATTTGACAAGAATGCAGAGGCTCCTTTTGCCCCTGAAAAAAATCAAATTTCAAACACAACTTGACTGCTCATTTCTCCAAAAGACAACCATGAAGCTCCATCCAAACCTGAAGCAGGCAGTTGGTGCATGTGTACAGTAACCTGAGGGGAGTGAGGTGACTGCTTCTGAGGAGAACATGAGCAGTGAAGATTCACCTTGGAGCTAGAACAGGGACGTGCACATGATTATACAGGGGCAGGGGCTCAAGTTTTTTCCAGTCATTTATACAATATGGAAATTAATGTGAAATTAAAAAACAAAGTATTAATAGAAAGGTAATGACTGTCCTGTGTAGATGACAGTGATATCCAATAGGCTAGGCACTCACGAGGCTGGCTGTGGCAAGTGTAAGTGAAAGCAACACGCACTGGCAGGAAGAACAGCAAACGCCGATGAAGGAAAAGGGTCTTTGCAGTGATGGGCGTTACCAGAGAGGGCGATGGCCAGAGGACACGAATGGGACGGGGAGGCAGCGCGTTGGGGGGGGGGGGGGGCGCGACACGGCTCGGGCCCGCCAGTGCCCCAACGGGGCCCTAGTCTGTTTTGTTTTCCATACATAAAATAAAACATATCAATCAAATTAATTCACAGTAATATATACTTGAACCCATAACTTTAAAATTAGTCTTTTGGCAAACAGCTCATAACAGATATTCATGAATGATTTTTCTTTTATTAGGATCTAAACAGGGATCTCCCAAAAGGACTTTTCCCTTGCTTTTTTAAACAAAAATTCAGATCAGGACTATCTCTCTTGTCTGATGGGAAGAAAACACTCAGAAAAGTGTCAAAATTGAGCAAAATTTATTGGACAGCTGAAAACAGGATCACAGTGTCTATATACAGAACTGTCAAATTGTGACGTAGAGTGTGGCTAACATTAGCAGAGCTAGAACTCCCAGTCTTCAGTCTCCCTGCAGGTTAATGTCCACATGCGTTGGCCATTCAATCTGCCATTTAAATTCAATACTGCCACACAGCCAAACCGTATGCAATCCAAACAACTAATACTGCCAAACCGTGGTGTGCTAAAAGTGTGCCATCTGTCATCTGTGCTTGTTAATACTATGCCAACTGAAGCTACAGCACCAGCTACTGGCAGGTTATAGCTTGGACACAGCATTTGACTAGCATTGTGGGCCTACACCATGCCTGACTAGGTTGTAGTTTGTTTATGTAGCTGCCCCTGTCATCAGTGCATGAGGGTGGTGAGAACAGGCAAGTGTATCATGTAGTGTAAAAGCATTTTGAATGGTCAGATGACAAGAGAAAGCGTGATATAAAGAAAGACCATTTAACCTTCACCATGAACTGATTCTCTTTTGATCACAGGGGGTGCAGAAAATAAAGTTTTTTTTTTTCTAATATCTTTATTGTTTAATGTGAATCCTTATGCTGCATTCCTGTTGCAGCCTACTCAAATTTCCGATCTCCGAGATGGAAATTCATTCAAAATGCACCCCTAAAGTCAGATTTCAGTCTCGGAAAGTCGGACGATACTCGCCAATCCCGACTTGACGACAGTGTCACAATCCAAGATGGCAGCGCAGTGCATGAACAGTAAAGAGTAACAGTAAAAGCTCTGGTAATCTATTATTTATTAGCACTTCTGTTTTGTTTTTGTGAAATTCAATAAGTGGTGTATGTTGTACTGCCCAACGTCTAACTGTGAACACGGTGCTATAGTGTCTGTAAGAGTAAAATACTGTGTTATTCATTGTTTACAACTGCTATAGCTAACAACAACTAAGAACAACTAACAACAGCAAACAACAACTAACAACAGCTGACAACCACAAACAACAACTGACAAGGCTAACGACAGCTGACATCTGTAAACAACAGCTAACAATGACTAACAGTAGGTGTCCATCTTGGATTTCCGACTTGTTAACTGGAACGCCGTCAACCCGGGTGTAACATCATTCCCAGCTCTGACATTCGACTTCCGAGGTTCTACACTTGCTTCCTCTCACGTCCTCTTAGTTTCACTTCAATGCATCACAGATCACAGTTTTTCTATTGGTTGCTGGTCCCACCAGGACAGCACACTTGTAAAATGGCAAGAACCTGTTAGGGTGTGAGTGAAACTGGATAGCCGCCGGTCACTGCTTGGTCAGAGGTAGTTACAGTTTAAAGGCACAGCAATGGCTGATGTCAAAATAGCAAATGCGTACTATCTTTAATTCTAATTTCCAACTCTAATAAAAAAGTCCATCTGATTGATCTGTGGTGCAAGTGCAGCCTTGCCAAAGGAGGACAATTTGGAATGAACAAGACTGTGCACAATGCTACAAGGCTGATTTACCTGCTAAAACAGCTCAAGAAAGATTGAGAGTTCAAGGGCCAGTTAGTGCCAGACACTAAGGACTGCAACAACAGCACCTTGATGAATCAGTCACTCTCTGACTTAACTCAAGATAGTCTGCTGGGGATGGTGAAGTTTGTGAAAGAGTTGTTTGTGGAGTGCCGCCGTCCCAGTGCCAGAGGTCCCACTAAGGCAGAGACCAAACTTTGATTTCACATTTCAGACTGAGAGGGTTGCTTTTGTTGGGCCTGCATTTGCTTTACTTCTGTTTTTGTTGCGGTAGGATGAAAACAAAAAAAAAAAAAAAAACAAGGTAGGCTGTCACTAATAGTTGCAGCTTTTTGTAAAACTGAGTGTTCATGCCTGTGTGTGTGACACTGGATTGGTGAATCTCAACAGAGTTGTAAATTACAAAGTGCTCATTGGTTCAGAAAAGGTAGGGCATACCTGGCCTGAACGAATAACTTCCAGAAAAATGAGAAAACAATCACCTTAAAATTTGATAATATAACATTGCATTGATCTCTTCTCTGTATGAATGTTTAAATGTGCTTAAATCCAATCCTTTACAAATCTGGATTATGGCCAAATTATAACAAAACACAACAACAATTAAACCCTGAGTGTGAGTTTTGGAAAAAAAAAAAAAGAAGGATAGAATGTAGAAATAAAAGACATTTAAAAAAAATCCAATGCCAGGTTATCTAGTATGAAGTCACCATGATCGGTTCGCTGTTTTCCAGGAAGCTTAGGGTCCAAACATAACACAGTCATAGCTCATATTTTGAACACATCCACTGCATCTATAGATGGCTTTAAATAGATGGAATAACAAATGAAAATAAAAAGAAACATAATGCAAAAGCCAAAGCCCACAGGATACACAGGACACCAATAACACATCAATACCTCCAATACCACATCATAGGATCTGTGACCACTCCAGAGAGTGTTTTCAAGTCAGGCTGACACACATATACACTCACACACATGAACACACACACTACCCAGGCAGCTAAGAGAAAAGAGGAAAGCCGAGGGGAGGAGTGTATGAGAGTATGACAGTGGATCAATAGCTGTGTTTGTGGCGGTGCTCCCACAGGAGAGCAGCAGTATATGAAAAGCCACTGCTGATGGCTGAAGGTCCTCTCAGAACATTCCCCGTGTGTTTAGCCCAGAGCCAAGGTTAAACCCAGCACAAAGACGCCACAAACCTCCACCCGCCTCCCCGGGGCTATATACACTCACACAGGCAGGGGCCCACAGGAGCCTTTCTTCTTTAAGTGTGTGTGAGTGTGTGTATATGTGTGACACTATGCGAGCCTTATGGCAGCGGAGCAATGAATGCCAAGCCTGCAAGAAAAGCCTCGTGCTTCATCCATTTTCTTTTTAAAACTCCTATCACCGTTATCCTGCTTTATTGTGCTTTAATAACTGGTTGTAATTAAATTAAAGATGCTAGTGAAAACAATACAGCAGCTACATTAGCATGTTTCCATTTCAGGTTAATGCTCTTGTCGTGAATAAAATAATGGATGTTAATGGAGGAAGGCTGTATGTGAGCCCAAGCAGGGTTAACCGCAGTGATTTATCCCAATTTAATTTCCATCTTAAGACCTCTTTATTGCTTTTACTTGCATTAAACAGCCCCTCTGAGAGAGAGGCAATAACTGCGGAGCCATAACGTTGCTAAATCATGCATTTAAAGCAGTAAAAGGTATATATATTTATATATATATCTAAGCTTCACTACTCCCATAGAGACTAGAAGCTACACAGGCTTAGGCAAGTAACATCACTGTTCTCTGGTTGAGGTTTGATGTAAGAAGAATAATTCACTTGTCTGGGGCTTATTTTTCTCCCAAAATTATAACTTATTTTCTAGATTCTCTTCACAGAGAGGCTGTGTGTTGTTGTTGATTATAGAGATGGAGAAAAATAGGAAGCTTGTCTCGCTCTCTGCAGTAATGATAGGATACTCTGTCAAGCGGCTCTCAAGGTGTCCACATTCCTTCACTTCAGCCGTCCCACTCCCGCACAGGCCGTAACTAGCTGCGATGTGGCTCGACAGGCAGTCATCGCCACAGAGGACTGATGGAATACTAATTAGCGTGCCACCATTTGAATTATTCATGCATCATAATTAGCAGAGAGATTTCCCATTAGGCTTTCAGATGTGACTGAAGAGTTTGGCTTCTGTTTAGTGCCAGACACAGTAAACAGAAAAATGCAGGCAAATATGATATGTGTGGGTTATGCATACATTTGCACGCTCACGCTTCTCGAAGTGGTACTGAATATCACTCATCTAAATAATATAAAGGAATTTTTTTCACAGTTAAAACCAGTCTAAAACTACAAATGAGTTATCACAACTACACAACATCTGCAGAACAGCTTCAGAAAATGCCAAATCACTAACTTTTCCTTTGTAAAGGAGTATGAGTGATAAATAACAGCAGCTTCTTTGCAAGGCTGCACGGAAAAACATACTGAATCTCCTGCCCTGCTGTAAGGTTCACTGGTTAGCTAATGTGCTACAGCTAAGACAGCACACAGCGGCTAACAGTGCATGATTTTCCCCTCCGTGTCTGTGCTTCTCTTTTATGCTGAGCCACTGAGTGCTAGCCAGCTCGAGCTGAAGACACATCCATCTGCTGCAGTTTAGCGGGGAAATTAGGCACTCAATGTAGCATATTTGTTTAAGTAATTGGAAAGTAATTAATAACCTGAAAATATAATAATGTGCTCAGCAGCAGCTCTTCTTCTGCAAACCAGATTCTGCTTTGTGTGTTGAAATGTGTGTGTGTCAGCATATTCAGTGCACCTGCTCTTGGAGTGAAGTAAATAGGAATTACAGAAGAGGGGTGAGGGCTGTAGGTAATCAAACGCTGATACATAGGTGAGGCACCATGGAGGTGCTTTACATGACATCACTCTTCAGGGTGCACATCGGACACCCGCTTGGTGTTAGACACTGCGGCACTGACTCCAATAACCACACAGTGAAGGTGGTGGTGGTGAAACAGGAGCCCGAGGATTAGTGTGACATTAAATCTGGCCTCTAATTATGCTGTCCAGAGATTGTTTTTTATAAATATTTGATGAAATGTCATCTGCGGCTCTGAGGTGCTGGGAGGAGGGAGAAGAGGGCTGGTGTAGTCTCTCTCTCTTTCTCTCTCTCTCTCTCTCTCTCTCTCTCTCTCTCTCTCTCTCTCTCTCTCACTTAGGCAAACACAAAGGGCACTTTTCCAATGAAAACATGTTTGAAAGACATCCATGGTCACTGTAGATAAGTTAGTGAAAAGTGGGTGAAAGTTTTGTAACACTTTATTTGACGCCTATCTCTATAACAAATTATAAATATATGTATAAAGCATTATAGTCATGTTATAGCACTGTATAACTATAGTAATAAACACTCATAGATGATCATAATGTTTTATAGCAGTAATCATGACACATTATAAAGCATTTTATCATGACTAACAAGGTCAGGTATTATGATATGTTATAACTTTTAACAACTCACTGACAATGCCCACAGATAATGCCTTATACATATGTTTATGCTGTGTTATAATTTGCTCATAAACTTGCATAACTATTATTATAAACACTAATTAATTATCATAAGGCTTTATAATAATAAGCATACCACATTATAATAAAGGTCTGATCTTACAAGATGGGGCTCAGTCTTATCCCATCTTTGGAAATATGATGAAGAGTACGGTCTAGATGAGGCCTTTTGTAAAGTGTCTGGAGATAAGATTTGTTGTAAATTGGTGCTGCATTAATAAAGATCAATTGATTGTTTCAATTATTTAGTCATATATAGACCTAAATCAGGGAGTTTGATGCTCCCTTGCTCACCCCTCATGAGTCGGTGATCGACTCGTCAGAGCCCTGCCCCACAAACAAGGGGATGCTGGAGAAGGGTGGGTTAGTTTCGTTTGGTCTCTTTGCTAAAGAAATCAGGCAAAGCTAAACAGATGTTTGGTGGCTAGTGCTATGGCTTGGACCCTATTCGACTGTTGATGAAGTTAGGTGTTCTGAGTATTATTTGTGGCTATAGAGTGGCTTTTTGGTTGAGGTGTGCGTGCGGCTTCATAGACTGCTGTGTTTTGCTTTCGTGCGGTTGTTACCAAAGTTGGTATCACTAGAGAAGCAAGTTAGTTTTTTGCCAGAATATCCCTTTAAGCAAGACATGCTGTTCTGCAGGTAAGTTGGTGGGTCTGAAGCTAAGCAGATGGTATGGTAAAGGCTTGGTTGTCGTGTGATGTGACAATTATCTACATGCAACAGGTGGGCTGTGCAGAACTGCTACTGTATGACGAGTTCTTCATTTTGTTTTGACAACAGATGTTGTATTTTGAATCTAATGACTTGTTTACTCTTCAACCAACCTGCTCCTCTGAGGACCTTCTCTATCCCAAGTTAAAACCCTGTTCTCAGACAGTTTAGAGCATCCTTAGAGCAATCGTCCTTTGTGACAGAAGCCAGAGGGGGTCTGGCATTGCAGAACTTTAAGAGACCGGAGATGGAATCCGTCATGAAACCAGAAACTAAAACGAAGTTATCATCCCAATGTGACATAAGATCTATTTCATAACATTGTCTGCTTTTCATTTAAACTTCACCAAAAACAGAACATATAGGAAATACAAAAATGATACATAATTTTTTTTTTTTGCATGTGTAGAACAACTGTCTCTTTTTGACAACCTGAGGTGGGTTGTTAAAGATCAGTAAATAAACTTTTAAAAGTTGCAGGTGTCCAGAAAAACTCTATCCTTGCTTCTCTTTTGGTCTTTCAAACTCACACGTACACATGTGCAGACACATACTCCACTCCCTGAGTGACTTCTGTGAGCAGCTGCTGCACAGAACTCCTCCGTTCATTGCCTGAGATCGAACCCCACCATGGAGTTTGTCAGGTGTCCTTGAAAGTGTGCATAAAGGGCGATGGATCCAGGTGGAGGAAGACAGCAGGGATCTCCCAGCACACTGCTGCAGCTTTGTAGCTCCACTAAGATGGAAAATTGACAGCTGTTCCACTGCATGAAAAGCCTTTTTGTAATTTTTGTTTTCCTGGTCTGTTAAACAACACTTACATGATTCATGGAAAACTTTAGGCAGTGCAAACAGTTTTATCTTAAACTCTGTCAGCACAATTCAAATATTACTTTTGCGTGCAGCAGCTTCAGACAAAGGATGTGACTGTGGGTGTATATTTGGTTCAGAGGATTGAAGGTCTTTTATCCTATTTTGTCTCAAATTGTAGGTTTCTATCAGAAAAAACACCCTGTGTTTCATCTTTTCTAGAGTTTTACTTTCTAAAGTTTGTATATTGATTCATGGCATATAATTAAAGAGCTTTTTCAGATGCAGCTGACATTTTTGAAGTCCCTGTTCGTCAAGTGCAAAAAAAGAGCATATTTATTTGGGAAAAGATCTCAGACCATGTGTGTAAGGCAGTGAGTTGATCTTTTAAGTTAAATATATTTCATTGCCATCTTTTATCATTTAACCAGAGGATTAAGATATGCTCGAAATGTTTCATCCTATTATTGTATGCACATTTAGGGTTATTCTTTTCGCCTAAGATTTGTCAAACAAATAAAGGAGGTGATTTCTAAAATTTGAATTTAGTGTAAAAGTCACACAAAATAGGGATTGCAGATATGCAGATAGGCAAGTGAGTGAGGAGATCAGATTAAATGGTAAATTGTAAAAAACCTTTGTCTATCATTTGATCCCGCCGGTTGAACTGTCAGGGGTTACTGTTGAAATTGCTGTTGACACGTGAATGAAGTGAGTAAATATAATTAATTTGCACATCTAAATGCGTACGTTTACATTTAGGATCCATATGATACACAACACACACTGAAATAGGATCCCTATCACAGCAGACCAGGTAAACATGTACACGTTATTCTTATTTATTATGAAGGTGTACCTGAGGCGGGAGAGGAACTTTCCCCTGATACCAGCAAGAACAGAAAACCAAAGTCCAGGTAGAAGGAACAGGCTTGTACAGAGAAGTATGTGTGGATAGATAGGTCTCTGTTTACTCTGGCCTTGGTGGCAGCTTTGTTGCTTGATGTGCCTGTGGAGAAAACACAGTTTGCGCAAACAAAAGAAAAATATATTTCCATGTGTCCATGCCAGATAACCTTGCTGACTCACTAGTGCTCATTACAGAGGAAAGCAGCAGAAGAATTGGTGGCAATGAGAGGCAGACACGACCCTCAGATTGTGGGAGTAAACATGAAAGTGCTCAGCTGTTTGGCAGAAGGGGGGTGGTGGTGAAAGGATCTATCCACATCTGGAATGTGAACCACACTAGTTTGCATAATCTAAGGTTAATAGGGAAACGACAGCTGATAAAATCTCCCTTGAGCTATCCCAGGAGGGTTTGAATCCACTGGGGCGCTTTTCTCTGAAGGGGCGTCAGAAGCTGCTTTAATGACCAGTGAATTCATCAAAGATACGTGTCATTCTGTGTTATATCATGTACATTAATGGAAGAGTGTACTTCAGTATCAAAGATATGCTCAGTCTTACTTTGCTTGGATCAGTGGAGCAAACAGGCTTTGACTTCTCCACTTCTTTTCAACCTGTATTCTCATACTGTCACCCACTCACATGCAAATATAGAATAAATGTGCATGCATATTCATGGAGATTTACATTTTCCACTCGTGTACTCATAGGAATATATAATTTTAGCTGTTTATCATTAGATTAATTTTACAAAATATGACAGTTTGTGACATTGGGCTTTGACCAAAAACAAGAATGTGATAAAATAAGACAAATAAACCAGTAAGAAGAAAATACGTATTGAAAAAATTGACATTGCTGATAAAAAGATACTTTCCCCATGAGTTAGAAGAGATGATTGAAGAGCTTGGAGTAATTCAGCTCAGCTTAGCATAAGGCTATTCACCAGGGGAAGCAGTTAACATGGCTGTCTATAAAAGTTAACAACTCACTCACAAAGCAACACTAAATAAAAGTCGATACAATCACTATGAATACAAAAAACGAATGAATGACAAATCGAGGCTCATATGATGCTACATGATGCAACTGTTCCCCTCTCTTGCTTTACTACGATCTTTATTTGGTCAGCTTGAGTGTTGTGCTCAGTGTTGTCTGTGAATGTGCACAAATTCAGTGAATGATGAACATAACGGCCTGTTTTGCAGCTCAAACAAAAATATCACTGAACAAAACGAGGAATTAGGGCACAAGAGAATAAAACACAAGCTTAATGTTTTTTTTTTTTTTTAAGTCTAGTGAAGGTTTACCCTGATTCTTTGGTTAAAACTTATTTTCAAGAAGAGAATTGCAAATCTCACCGTAAATCTCCTGATACGTTGGTCTGATGTGTGTCTCACGCTGTTAAACTCTCGAGCATACAGAGCGGGGAACAGCATGTGTTCAGAAAGCTTTCCAACTGTGTAGTAGATATGCCTCATCTGTGGAAACAAAGCAATGATGTGTTATCCCTCAATGCTTATTTGAAAGTTGTTGTAACTCACGGAGTTACTCAGCATCTCTGCAGCTGTGCAGCCCAGAGACCAAACATCAGTGGCCTCACAGTTGGAGCCCCGAAACACACAAAAGGAATACAAACACATTACTGAGGATGAAAAAACAAACCAGGAAGTCATTTGTTAACTGTCTACAAGTCAGCATCAGTTTCTAAGGCATTAAAGGTTGAAACAGCTGTCAGAGATGTCTAGCAGAGTTGTCAGTCATTTACTTGAACCATCAAGTTTGTAAAGACACCTGTATGTGCAGCAGGACTGCTCAAGGCCAAGCTAAAGTTAATGACTTAGATTTTTAATGGCTGCAGTTCAAGAAGAATTAGACTCACATCAGACAGATCAATAGCCACGTTTACAAGGGCAAAATCTCTTGATCCAATTAAAAATTTGAGGGATCAGACAATCTGAATTCACTCTTTATATGGGTGTAAAATCAAATAATCCAATCATGACGTGTGTAAACATGCACTAAGTTTTATTCAGATTAGAGGCATTTGGGCATGTGCAGAGTAATCTGATTTCGCTAAATCAACCGAGGAAGAAGAAGAGTTGTATTTGCGCCTGTGCTGTCAACAAATTAACAAATGCTGTAGTGGCTCAATCCATCCAGTTCAGGAGTTTTCCCCCTGTTAAATGCCCTATTTTACTTGTTTTACTGTTCTGTCAAAAGTTGCACTGTGCGTGCAGATGTGACATATTTACGCTGTATGTACGCCTTGTTATGTTACCGGAAGAGCAGACATGGCATCTGCGGTTGTGTTTTATGCCAGAGTGTCAATAATGAAGCAAAAGGCTAAAATAATTTTGCCAAAGGCTAAAGAGTGAAGATCAAGTCAGGTAAGAGAGTCACAATCGGAACACGTGTTCGCATGGACGCGTTTCGGAATAATTATCGGCATAAACCACCCCTCTCGATCGGAATGCAATTTATTTCTGATTGAGCCGAATTGGATCAGAATCATCCGATCGTCACATTTACATGACCTATTTTTATTCCGATCGGGCATTTATTCAGATTATTTGTGCCAATGTATACGCAGCTACATATCAAGCCTCTCACTGGTTAAAGAATAACTATACTATGTATTAGTAGCATTACATCAAACCTCTAAATATTTGTTAAGCTAAACTTTAGTTCATCATCCCAAAGAAATTACAAATTTATTCTCAAAAGGTTTAAATTAAACGATAAAACATTTTGGGGGATAAAAAAATTAAATAAATAAATAAAGGACAAGGAATATGTGTGTGTTTGTGTTGTACCGCATAAATGTTGTGTAAAAACACACAAAACTGTTAATGAGTGTCTAAGAGGGAGAGGCAGCCTTCAGCCCTCTCTCTAAGTTATCCTTTCAGGGGTAATTGGACAGAGGCATACACCGTTCTCCTCTCAAACAGCCACATCTCCTGGGTGCACCCTCCCCATGTGCCTAATCACACCTCTATTTGCATGGAGGGCCCTGAGAATCAGCCTCAATAACGCTGCACGCCTTTGAAAGATGAGTTTTTAATCTGGGAGAGGAGATGAGTTTCTGACCCGCGCCTGTTTGTTTCCGTACTTTCTTTTTCCTGTCGTATAAAAGTGACCTGCGGGTAAATTTGCAGAGGCAGGATAGCTACTCGGCTCTTTAAGTACTGTCATTGTGCATTCATTAATATCCCCATATCTGACATGGCGGGGAAAATGGTTCTTGGCGAAAAAGGGCACTTGTCGCGGTGGGTGAGACTTCCTAACAGGCAATCAGATGGACTGACAGCGAGTGTGTGCACGGGTGTGTATGTGTGTGAGCAGGCAAAGAAGAGCTGTGGGTATTTATTCTTCTCCCATTGCCCTCTATTGACCCATGTAATGGGGAATTTTACAAGGGGAAGTGTTTGAAATATCCTTTGGATGTGGGTAATGTGTTCATCTGTGAGAGTGGGGTCTGCTTTCATTCCTGCAGTATCTGCCTCTCTTTCTCACACATAGACACACCGGTGCAGCTTCTTGCATTATAACATTATACGGCACAATGACATCCAGTTGAATACACTTAATACACCTTTATTTGAAGTTTTGACCATAATGTACTACAGTCAAGAGCCACAGTATAAATGCTGTGAATTTAAAAGTCAGTGTGTGCATTCATTATTTGAAGAGATGATTACATATTATCTGCTTTCTAAGCAAAGTAAGATACAGTTTACTTCATCATTATTATGGATGTTGGTGTCACATCTAGACTCTAAACTTTTAAAGTTATAATTCATACCTAATCTGAGTAAACAGATGTATGAGATATGTATGATCATCATAACTCCAATCTAACCTCCTTGGAAGCCTAATTATACAGTAAACCTTGAAATGAAACAAAGTTTGACGTTATTTTAAAAAAATAAAGGTATACTTCACTACTCCTTACATGAACAGTGGAAGTGTTTCAAAAACCCTCATTTCATACATATAGCTACAACTCAGATCAACCTGTATTCTTTACTGGTCTGAAGGAGACTGCTCCAGACAGGAGGGCTCATAAATGCAGTTCCACTGTTCACTGTCTTCTTGTGAGTCAGCTCCAACAGACTCATTCACTTAAGTATCCCTCTCCACAGCAGAAGTCTGGAACAAGCCTCAGACTTTGTACCAATCTGAATCATAAAACACAGACACATGTCAAAGTCATGTATAACTCTTGGTACAAAATGTGGATGACCTAACAGCTACCCCGAAGTAGGGCCAAAACCTTCAAAGTTCCCCCTGCAGTATCGGCAACCTCCTACAGACTGGACATGGGTAAAAACTTAAATGAAATTTGATGTTTCAAAATTTCATTTATAATGATAAAATGCAAGTGTTCCTTTGTTTTAGTTTTAACTTATTTGATGTTAAGAGGAGGAGATGTGACGAATGTGTGCACCTGCAGCATTCTTCGCTGAATCAACACTGTAGAGGCTTGAAAGACGACAACCAACACTCACACAAGAGCCACTAAACTTACCAAATCCAGTCAGTGAACTTCTTGTTTTGGTGTTTTATATATACATAGCACGCATGTTTTTTTTGCACAGACTGTCCAAGAACTTTGCTTCAGATTTTTGGTGTGTGAATTCTCACTGTTTTATGTTAGCACCAATTACAGTACCTATGTGCTCTTTATCTGGCTTGTCACAGATTCATATTCATCAAATTGACTGTACTGAAAAGTACATAAGAGTCGGGGTTGTTGTTGTTGGTTTTTCCTAATAGAGAAAAGGGGCTGTAGTGCTGAGAGGAGTTGTTCTGTAAACTGGTTATTTTTGTTCGATTGTCAAAGACGTGTGAGAGTTTTTTGGGTCGTGACCCCCTGCCCCCCCCCCCAATTTTCAATCCAATCACCCAGGTATCACCTTTAGTAGACTCTAATTCTGTCCCAAACACTATTAATTTACAAGCCGGCTAACGAATTATCCTTGTGCATACAGGGGTCAGTTTATAAATTTGTTTGCCAACCCTTAACTCCTCTCTGACCCCCATCCTCTTGTCCAAATAAAATCCCTTCTGGCTGCAAAATTTTAATGGGTGACTCAACCAAATAGGTGATAGTGGCTGCTTCCAGAATTTATTGATTATGGATTTTGATCTAAATTCATGGGATAACCAAAGACTCCAAATGTTAACCCTGTTGTTAACCTGGCTGCTTATGATTTAATATATTTTCAAAGGGTCAATGACTCACGCCTCAAACCAATAGGATGCATGAGTGCCACCCTGAAGCTGATGTGTGCCCGTTCTAGTTAGAAGTTCTCTGTTCCATTCTGCTGAGTAGAATGGAGGCTGTGTCCACCACATGTTAAGCAGAACAGCAGAGATCAAGCTAGAAAGATGATCAAGCATGGGAATGATACAAATCATCCATGTTCATTACAAGATTAATGACCACATGCTGATTCTTGACAATATATTAGATTGTATGGATGAGAAATACTCATTGATGATGGGTTTATTGTTAGCACAGAACAGCAACATGGCCTATCAATGATCCGTTTCGACCACAACAGGACTTTTGACTAACTTTGTCTGCAGGTAACACCACAACAACCAGGAACATGATTTATAAATACTTAACACACAAATATGTAAGAGCTGAAACTGTGTAATCGTGTTGTTGCTCATCATCTGCTCTGGGTTGCGCTTCTGCCGTATGCTTCAAACAGGCTTACAGTGGGCCAGAGCGTGTGCCCTCAGATGGAACAAAACCAGAATGTGGTTCTCAACCATTCGGTGGGTTTTCAGGGTCAGACGTGCTCTCATTAGCTCTGCCGCCTTTGCCTGGATTGCAGGACACAATCTTTCTCCACTGTTTCCTGTCCTCTGGCATCTTTACTGAGCAGCAGTCATTATTTTCTCCTCCTAAGATCAGTCTAAGGATTTTGGATGCTAATGGAGGCTAACGTCTTTGTCACGGTGTCATCAGGCAGAGGTTAAATGTGCTGGACTACTTTTTGCTGATTGATTTTGGTATTGATCAGTACATGATTAATTATCATTGTTACTAGAGTTCAGAAAATCTGAATAAAGTTTTTAACAAGGCTGGGTTTAAAAAATAGATTAGGCCAGTGTACATAAGAGCTGTTTGGACCAGTGTGCCTCATCCAGCATCTGAACCCCTCCAGTGTTCAAGAGCAGAATACAGAAAGAGAGCAGAGCCTCTCTACAGCAGGTGGGAGCTCCCACTAATGAACGTGTGCTGCACTGTAAACACACTGAGCTTGAGTGCTCAGCAAAACTACCTCGGGTAAACAAAGGTAAGACAAAGTTTACAATTACTCATCATACTGTCAGACGGATTCAGTTCATGCAAATTGCTGCCATATGATTTAAATGTTTCAGGGCGAGATGTGTTAAGCTGGCACAAGTTTACTTCTTTGGGAAGAGCAAATCATTTGCAACCCGGACTACAAACAAACCTTCAAGCATATTTCACAACACAAACAGTTCACAGCAAGTTCCCATGGAGAATAAACAAAGCACACACACACACACACACACACACACACACACACACACACACACACACACACACACACACACACACACACACACACACACACAC